GTTGTGTAGGGTGTAGCATGCTGGCACAGTTGCCCTGTTGTGTAGGGAAAACATTTCTTTGGTGTTGTCCACCACCTCTGGGCCTTACAGTCTTTCTGCCCCTCTTCCATGAAGATCACTGCCCCACCTAGGCTTAGTGCTGCACAATCCAGGATCAAATATTGACCAGTTAAGGGTTTCTGTATTCATGGCTGTCTACTGCAAAGAGAAGCTTCTCTGGTGAGGGTTGGGTTCTTCCCTAGGCCCTATTACCTATGGCATACCATAGAGCAGGTTCTTGGCCCCTTTAGCTGTTCCAGTTATGGGTCTGTCTCGTGAAGTAGACCTCAGATCTAAGCAGAAAGTGATTCATGACTCAGAGAACATCTGTGCCAGTATTGCACAGTGGACATGTCTTACCAGGCCAGCTGTTGTAGTTAGTTTTCTCTGGTAGCATACATAGCAGCTTCTGGCACATTGAAAGATGAAATGGACATGAAATTGACATGGAATTGACAGATGAGTGTCTACTTGATTTCCTCAATTCCAGTACTTCAAATAAGTGATGTCTTCAGCAACAGGGTCTAACTGTCAAGTTCTGGAGGACAGACAAGAACACTGACAGTAGCCTGTTGTGGTTGAGGGTCTATATTACCCATTGGCCAGCAGCTCAAAAAGATAACCCCTCCTGGTCTTGGACATATTATTTTCTAACGTGTTTTTAGGTAGCTCCTATAGTAGTAGTGTGCTTCCATGTGGCTCTTTCAAAAGGCCTTAGTGTTAGTTATCTCTCCACATAGTCCAGCCTCTACCCTGCTCTCCTGCTCCCAACCGAATTTAACACTTCCTATTCCATTATTCCCCTTTCCACCTCTTACTGCTTGAAGACCGCTCTCCATAAATGGCCCCTTAATAAATCCTTAAGCTATGGGTATCCCTAATGGAACACACATATCAGAAGATTAAACGCTAATATCAGAGAGTCAGGTCTATCACCTCAAGCCTGCAGACAGAAGATAGGAACACTGGAGGTTTGAGGCCGAGCATCCAAACCATCGTGACCACCTGCAAGTCGCATTTCTTCGCTTTTTGTTGACTCACTCTTGAGGTGAGTCGTAGATCAGCTGCTTTCACGGTCAACCTGGAAAACAAAGCTTGCTTGTGTAGTCCCGAGAGGGCAAGGCAGTGCTTTCTCGTATAAGGCTGCTTCTTTTGAAAGCAGTTCTGACTTCTAAGACTGGCATCCTAATAATTCTGGAGGAAGAGCTGACAGTCCGTGCACCCTAACATGAAGCCAGCATGTCTCAGGCCAGCAAGAGGAAGCATGTGGTGCAGGAGGGGTTGGGATGGTACATGGTGCCTTCTGACCAACAGCAGACAGTGAAAGTTCTCAGGACTCCTAGGAACAATCTGCATGAGGTAGAGACAGCGCAAGAGCAGCACTTCCTGGTGAGCATGCCCTCCAAATACAGCAAGAACATCTGGATCAAGAGAGGGGACTTCCTCATTATTGACCCTATTGAAAAAAGGAGAAAAAGTGAAGGCTGAGATCTCTTTCGTGCTCTGCAAGAACCACATTCGTCCCTCTCTACAGATGGAGAGTCACCAGCCTGAAGCCTTCTCTGAGGTAGCTGAGAGACAAAATAATATGAACAGAGAGAGTCAGCCAGAACTTCCTGCTGAGCCACAGCTGTCAGGAGAAGGGTCAGGTTCTGAAGATGATTCTGATCTCTTTGTCAACACCAATCACAGACAGTATCATGAGAGTGAGGAGGAGGAGAGTGAAGAAGAAGAGGAGGCTCCCTGAGCCTAGGACCCACTTCTCTTACTTGCTCAGGAACTACCCCTTGGTTTTTCTGGGCTTGGACATTCCCAGGGTACCCTGCAGATCTTTTCCTTTGGATGGGGACAAAGCATGGCTCCTTTCTGAGCTGACCTAAAAGAATTAAACCCCTGGTGGGTAATGACTTTAAAAATAAGAAGCTACTATCCACGAATGAGAAAGAACATAACTTTTGTCTGCGTCTGGTTTGCCTCACTCAAAATATCATTCTTTATTTCATCCTTTAACTTACAGATTTTAAAATTCCATTTTTAACAATACCATTCTATTGTGTAAACATACCACATTCTCTTTATCCATTGATGGACATCTAGGCTGTTGCTGTCTCCTGGCTACTGTTCAGGAGGTAGCAATGAACAAGGATGAGCAGCTATCTCTGCAGTAAGATACAGAGGCCTTCGAGTATATGTCTAAAGTATAGCTGGGTCGTGTGGATCTGTCTCCAGCTTTTTGAAGAACCTCCACACTTACTGATATTTCCATCGTGGCTATTAGCAGTTTGTGCTCCCGACAAGAGTGAGAATAAGTGCCCCTTTTCCCTAAATACACACCAGCATTTATCATCGTATTTTTTTCTGTCTTAGCCATTCTAACTATAAGATGAAATTCCAAGAATTTTAAATTTGCATTTCCCTGGTGGCTAAGGATTTGAACACTTTAAAAATATTTCTCAATGGGCAGTGTTCTTCCATGGCATGCTTCAGCCTCCAGGCTCTGCCTTGAGTTCCTGCCCTGACCTCCCTTTATAAAGGACTGTAAACTGTAAGATGAAATAAACCCTTCCTCCCCATGATTTGGCAATGGTGTTTTATCAGAGCAATAGGAACATCACTCGGAAGTGCTGAGGTTAGAGTCGTGTAACTGTGCCTGGCTTTTTACATGGCTGCTGTAGCCCAAACTTAGCTACACGTGCTTATGTGACAGTCACTTCATAACTGAGCCGTCTCCTTGGCCTAGTTCTTCTATACTTCTAAATAGAATAGTACTTAAGAGACAGTGATTAGCTTCAACTATATCAGAAAGGGCGTGTTCGAAAACTCACAGCATGTAGATGACTTGGGGGATCCAACTTGGTCAGGGAGGCTACTCTGGAAGCAGACCGTGTTAAGTGGGCCCAGGAACTCCTTTGAACTTAACGCTTTCTCAGGTTGATTGGAATCTAATCTAGTGTAAGACAAGTTGTCTTCACTATGGGGGACTTTAATAGCCACATGGACCTGAGTCAGGCCATTTACTGCTTGTCATGGGGTATGCAACTGGGGGCTAAAATTCCAGCTTATCCTATTGGGAAGTTTTATTTAGAGAGTATTCATTTAGTTTGCTTTTTAAATTTTTTAATTAACAGATCTATTAATTTTTAAAAGACAGATGTACTTATGTTCCATCAGGACAAGTTCCCCACTCTTCTCTTTGTGGGTGCCCCACTAAGTAGTAAGTAACCAAGTCTGAAGGGCTGACACAAATCCCACTAGACTGTAGTCTAACACTGGGAAACTCAGGCAGGGGGCAGGGTACCAGAATTCCACACTCAGCAGGAAAAGGCAACAGGAGGGCCTCAGGCGGCTATCACCCACTCTGGCCTGTCCCCTGAACAATATATAACAAACTGGTGACATACTCGGCTTGAGAAGTGCTCTTTCCTTTCAGAACTTGAAAAAAAAGCTAGAAACACGTCAGGAGCATCACCAGTGCATCAGCTCCTGGACGAGATGGACTTTATGGTGGCAGCCCTCATCCTTAGCCAGTTTTTAGAATAGTTACCTTCTGGCTTCCATACTTTGCCTCTCAACTAAATTTTCCTATTGTGGGATGAGGAGCTGGGCTGGCTGGGAAGAATCCTCCAAATTTTCAAAACCATTCGATCTATTAAAAATGACACGTTTTACTGCACTCACTGGGGCTGTGAGAAAGCTGCTAGAAGCAGTTTTACTGCACTCACTGGGGCTGTGAGAAAGCTGCTAGAAGCAGTGGTGAAAGGGGCATCCTTGCATTTTCCCTTATTTCAGCGAGGACACTTCTATATTTGAGCCATTGAGTGTGACGTTTGGGGTCTGGAGAGATGACTTGGTGTTAACAGTGCTTGTTGTCCTTTCAGAGGAGAGAGTTCGGTTCTCAGCACCCACATTCGGCAACTCACAGTCGTCTGCAACGCGAGCTCCAGGGTCCTCCTCCGCCTTCCGCCCTTTTCACCTCTATAGTGTTACACACACACACACACACACACACAGAGAGAGAGAGAGAGAGAGAGAGAGAGAGAGAGAGAGAGAGAGAGAGCGCAAATCTGTTTTAAAACATGATGCTAGCTGTAGTGTAATGATCCTTTCCTATACTGAAGCTCCTTTCCCATAGATATTCTGTTGGTGGAGAGGTTTTCTCATGTGTAGGTATTGAATATCATCACAAGACTGTTTGGCATCGATTGATATGATCAATATCAATATGATCACCGTTTGCTATCAGCCTATTGATGTGATAGGTTTCACAGATCATTCAATGTTGAACCAGCCTCATGTAAAGATGGCTATGTACCCAATCCCCCATGATGACACTGAATGAATTAGTTTTGTGCACAGTTGATTTGATGAGTTGTTGAGGATTTCTTCATCATTTTCATGACAGATTACCAGTAGTGTCAGGAGGCATACTAGGACTAGTTAATAACTAGCAGGTAATCTTCCTGAGATGGTCTGCTTCAGATCAGTCCACGACAGACTCTCTCTATAGACAAGGCCCAAGAGAATTCATTTTAGGAAAGATTCCTGCTATCGATATGCTTTTCCTGTTATTATTAAACATATATAACAATCACCCATCCTTTCTGAGCAGATCTCTTTTGAGCAGATCTCTGTAGATCTACAAAGATATACTGTCTTGTACTGATGCTATATAAACAAACTGATGACTTCTTAAGTCTTAATGATGACCCTATAAGAATTCCTAAAATTATATCAGTGATTATTAATCTCTTTTTTAAGTGGGACTGCTATTAAATCCTTTTCTGATAATCAAAGATAATCAGTGCAATGAGAACTGTCAGTCTCCCATGTGTCATCAGTTAATTGCCTCTTAGATAGTAACCAGACTTTCTCCTACTCAGAGCACATTCCAAGAGGTTGTAAAACAATTAACCAGGTCAGCAAGCAACCATGGCCGGGCTTCCGAAGCTGGTAGGCGTTCCCCTTAAGGTTCGGAGGTTGCACACAGCAGTGTGTCACTATAAGGGGCGGACGGGCGCTGAGCACCTGTGGCTGATGCGGCATCTAAAGGACCCGTTTGTGAAGGCCGCAAAGGTGGAGAGTTACCGCTGCCGCAGCGCCTTCAAGCTCCTGGAGATGAATGAGAAGCATCACATCCTCAGGCCTGGTCTCCGGGTGCTGGACTGCGGGGCCGCTCCGGGAGCCTGGAGTCAGGTGGCAGTACAGAGCGTCAATGCCACAGGCGCAGATTCCAGCTCCCCCGTGGGTTTCGTGCTGGGGGTCGATCTTCTTCACATATTCCCTCTGGCGGGAGCAACCTTTCTTTGCCCTGCTGATGTGACTGACCCCAGAACTTTACAGAGAATTTTAGAACTGCTTCCCAGAAGGAGAGCAGATGTGATTCTGAGTGACATGGCACCGAATGCCACTGGCATCCGAGACCTCGATCATGACAGACTCATTAGCATGTGCCTTACCCTTGTGGACATGGCTGTGGATATCCTGCATCCCGGGGGGACACTGCTGTGTAAAACCTGGGCCGGAAGTAAAAGCCACCTGCTGCAGAAGAGACTGACCCAAGAATTCCAGAGCACAAAGGTCGTGAAGCCGGAGGCCAGCAGGAAAGAGTCTTCAGAGGTGTACCTGTTAGCCACACAGTACCGTGCGAGGAGAGGCTCGACGAAGCAGTGAGTCTGGCCTCCCCTTCCGGGAGCGCTTCCGGCCCGGGGATCCAAGCGTTGTGGATATGAACAGCACCCTGAGGCACCTCCGGGGCGTGAAAAAGTGCTAAGGATGGGCAGTACAATGGCTCAGTGAGTAAAGGGGGCTTGCTGCTAAACCGGATGCCCTGAGTGGAGTGTCCGGGACCCCTGCAGCAGCAAGAGAGAACTAACCCCTGGAAGTTGGCCCTGACCTCTCATATGCTCGCACACACATAATGTGCACAATATGAACTCATATATTGGCAGGGTTAGTTTCTGGCAATTTGACACAAACCTGCCTGTGTCTGGGAAGAAAGAATCGGACTGAGGAATTGCTTTCATCGGCTCAGCCTGCGGTCAAGCGGAGTGTGAGACATTGTCTTGATGAGTGACTGATGGGCGGGGCGGGGCGGGGCGTGCCCTGCCCTGCGGGGGCGGAGCCTTCCCTAGGCAGGCGGGCCTGAGTTGTATGAGAAAGCGGGTGAGCAAGACCGAGGAAGAAGCCAGTAAACAGCAAAAAAAAAAAAAAAAAAACAATTAACCAAAGGTCATAAAAGGGAACTAATGATTTATTATAGACGCTACAAGAGAAGATAAAATATTGACTGGGTTTATCTATACAAAACTTCACTAATAACTTAGCTATGGTTTTCAACTTTCTATGAACCTGTGAAGCTGTGACAGGTGATTGATGTTTAGCCAGATAATTACTCCTAATGGATATGCATGTAAACATTCTCTGTTGTAAACTTCTATTTTGATTTATGATTAGAATTTTATGTGTGAACCTGTGATGAACTTTTTAACATGTGATCATGTATTCTGAAAGATGTATAAGTGCTGAGGACAAAGAGATGAGATAAATTTTTCCCTTTCCCTGCTTAGGACCTTTCCGCTTTTCCCCTTAGATAGCTTTCATAGGAAACTTTTTACAACTTAGTAATAAACTTTTCAAAGTATCACCTTTTTTCTTCCTGACGTCCTACTAGCAGGCTGAAAGTTAGAGCCACTCAGTTCCTGCTGAGATAGTACAAAGGCTATTTACTTAATCCCTTGCTGTTTTAGGATGAGGTGTTAAATGCGGGAGACTGCAGTTTCTGGCCTCAGAGGAGCACAGAAGTCAGGCCAGCTACAGTAGTAACAAGGTAACTTAAACTTAGATAAGTAAACTTTCTTATTGTTATACAGCAACCCTAAATATCTCATAAGACAAAGTCTTACCCTCTGCCAACACTCTTCCCCTTCCACTGCCTCAAGAAGAACCAACAAGAAAGAAGACGGCACAGTAGTTTTCACTTTTGAAATGTCTGCGTAGGCTCTGCGTAGGCTCTGCGTGCTACTGACCACATGGAGCAATACGGCAGGGAGCATGTCTTTTGTTGTTATTGTTGTTGTTACATTCTGAAAAAAAATAGAACTGCTGGGATTTCTACCCAAGATGTCTGGTAGAGTTCACCAGTGATTTCATCTAGTTCTAGAATTTTATGTTTGGAAGATTATTAAATACTAATTAAATTCTTAAAATATGCCCATATACACATTCAGAGTTTATCCTTGAATGAGTTTTGATAGAATGTGTCCATTTAAGCTAGGTTATCAATTACTCTAAGTTCCACTGTACACAGGGAACATGTATATAGGCCCTTGGTGCTGGGGAATTAATGAAGGGTCTTACACATGCTTGGCAAGTATTCTATAGACAGAATGAACTGTACAGCCCCAAATCAAAAGACATTTTCTATGTTTTAGCACTTGGATATAAGAAAGGCCTACACATATTAAGGACTCTTCCCGTAGATGTGAAGTGGAAATTCCTAGTTTCTTTGAAAAATTAGTTACGTCAAATGATATTTTGCTGAGCACACAGGTAAAAGGATGTCTTGAAAAAGCAAACACGTCAAAGACTGTTTTCCTGAAGCAGACACGGGTAAAAGGATGTTTTGATATAGCAAACACATGAAAGGACCTGTGATGAAGGAGTATAAATATGACCCCACAGACAGCTGAGCATTGGTTTGGTTTGCTCAGCCTTGCTATTCTTCACTAAAAGACACTCATGTATTTATTGGTTTGCCTTACACTCATGTATTGGTTTGCGCTGTTGATCTCAACTTGTGGTAATGCTGCCATTGAGAGAAACTTGCCCAAAAACTTCCTATGAGCCTCCTGCAGGAGCTTGCCACCTCTACAGCCTTGCTTTAGGCCATTTGGTGAGCCTGGTGGTTTCTTCAGGATTGAACTACTGCTGCCTGTGTTTGCCTGCCTAGAAGATGGGCTTGTGGCTGCTGAATTGAATTTTGGTGTTTGCTATGGGACTGAACTGCTGAGAAAGAAGATTGAGCTTGCCCACAGAGAACTACTGTCCACGACCCCCATATCTTAATAACTTTTCTCTTCCACTACCTCTGCTGGGTGGTGGGCTAGAGGAGATAGTGAACCCTTATTAAAAGTAGGTTGTAATAAATGTATGCCTACATAGATTTTTAGGGTTATTGTATTATTTAATTATCTACCTTTAAAGCTCATCAAAATCAAATGATTTCCAGGCTTAAGGACGTAGAAATGGGTATTTTTCTAGTGTGTGGACTCTGAAGTGTAGTACAGATACTGGTGTGTAGATATACGTTCATATATTCATTCTGTCCATATGACTCTTTTCTTGTGTGTGACTTCTGGCGTACAGTGAGGTTTGATTTTTTTGACAAAAGGTTTCCCCACACATTTCACATTCATTTGGTTTCTCTCCTATGTGGGAATTGTTTAGCAAGGTCTGATTTACTGTAAAAGATTTTTCCATTAACAGAACACCAACAGGATTTGTCCTGCGTGAGTCCTGTGATGTGCTGGATGTAGAGGGATGGTTTGTGACTACAGGGTTTCCCACCTTCATATGTTTGCGTGTGTTTGCTCTGATGTAAAGCCCTGCCTGCACACGGAAACGTTTTCCATGTTCATTGCATTTGTAGCGCTCTTCTTCTGTGTGGATTCTCTGCTGTACAATTGGAGCTGACTTATGCAGAGTGCTCTTTCACATTGAATACATTCATGGGGTGTCTCCCCATGTGAGTTCTCTGGTTCTGGGCTCTGAAGCCATGACTTGTGGCAGAAGTGTTTCCAACATTTACTATGTTCATATAGCTTCTCCCCTGTGTGTGTCCTACTATGTTTAGTTGGGTATGGTTCATTGTAAAATATTTTTCCGCATGTATGCCCCTCACACGGTTTCTCCCCTGTATGTGTTCTCACATTGACTTATGGATGCAGAATTTCCCAAATCCTGGACACATAAAGGGTTCCGCTTGTGTGTGAGTCCCCCCATGTGCTGTGAGGTCTGACTGGAAGCAGAAGTTCTTCCTACATTCACAGCATCCAGAAGGTTTCAGTCCTGTATGAATTATCTGATGCCTGGTGAGTAATGTTTCGTGGCAGGAACTTTCCCCACACAATTTACAAACATAGAGTTTGTTCCCTTTATGAATTCTCTGGTGCTGTGTAAGATGTGGGTTTTGACCAAAAGATTTCCCACCATCTGGACATAGAAAGGGTTTCTCACACATGTGTGCCCTTTCATGTATTCTCTACGTATGAACTCATACAAAACGATGTTCTGTATGTGTGACATTCATAGGGTTTCAGCTGTGTGTGTGTGTGTGTGTGTGTGTGCATGCGCGCACTGATGTTTGGGAGGTCTGACTTTTGGTAAAGTGTTTTCTCACATGTAGCACCTGTGTGTGTTCTCTAGTGTAACATGAGAGCTGACATGTAGCTAAAGGCTCTCCCACACTGACTGTATCCATGGGGTTCATGTATGCGATCTCCGATGTTTCATGGGTTTGACTTCTCCCAGGTTTTCCCACAATTGTTTCACTGGAAGACTTCCTTTCCCATGTGTACCCTCAGCTGTCATGTGACATGTGATTTCTCCAAGAAAGCATCGCCACATTCATTACACACAAAGCATTTCTCTCTTTATGAGTGCTCTGAAATTGGGACAGATATAAATCACTCCTAACTTTTTTGTCAGTTTTATTATGGATACAGTGTTTTATATGCATACCATCATGTCTGGAAGCAGTGGACTTCATATACAGTTTATCACAATCACTGAACTCACCGTGATTATCTTCAGAGAAAGATGTCTGAGGAGACAAAAGGGACAAGGCATTGTAGAACAGTCTCCTGTAAACATTTCACTCACAGCGACTGTGTCCTACACTCTCGCCATCTTGTAAGATGATCATCTTAAGATTCAGGGTGGCATCCTGCATACAGAGTATTTAAAACTCTATTCCAGGGCTGGAGAGATGGCTCAGCGGTTAAGAGCACTGACTGCTCTTCCAGATGTCCTGAGTTCAATTCCCAGCAACCATGTGGTGGCTCACATCCATCTGTAATGGGATCCAATGTCCTCTTTTGGTGTGTCTGAAAACAGCAACAGTATTCTCACATAAAATAAACAAATAAATCTACAAAAAGAGAACGATCTTTAAAAAACAACTCTGTTCTATAGCTTGGACCTTTTCACTCCGAGCAGGAGTTGCATGACCGCTGGCTGTAGCCTTATGTTTGAAAACTTCACTTTGATGGCTAATAAGATTTTTTTTCACATCTAATGTTGAGTAATAATTTTCCATCGGCATTAAATTCATCAGGATTTTTTTCTTGAGTATGATTTCCTAATAACAAATTCTGAAATGTAGTTAGAATGTGTTCCTTCCGAGTCACAGTCACAGAGTGATTTTGTGGAAGGAAAGGCATTAACATCCAGGCTGAGTCCTTCTCCTTTTACTCATTCTTCAGTCGGCATTCGTTACTGGTGAATACCAATACGTAGGTTGGCTTTCATGGCTCCTGTCTTTCAGCTTTCCAAAGTTCTACAAATAAGACCAAATAACCTTCCCACATGAACAGGACTCCACCTCTTATGAAATGATAACTGTGCTACAAAAATCCTGACCTAGTCCACTGTGTTTTGTCTTGTCCAGTTTTCAGGAATAAAAA